CATGTGGTGCTGGGGGATTGAACCGCGGTCCCTGTGCTTTGCTAAGCTTGTTCTAAGTAGATGCTTTAGACCACTGAGCCATCTCACCAGACCCCCTTTTAAAATTTTAAAGCACATTCTCGTAACTTGCTATGCTTCCCTGGCTGGACTTGGATTTGTGATCCTCCTGCCTCAGCCTCCCGGGGTGCTGTTGGATTACAAATGTGCGCCTCCACACGTGGGCCTTTATGTTATAATTAAGAAGAGAAAGCACAGAACTCAGCTAAGCCTGCTGCACCTCCGTGGGAGCAAGCAGGAGGAGGGCCGGAAGGCCATTCACGAGGCCATGGCGCCCCGCCCCACGCAAGGCAAGAGCTCAGCTTCGTCCCTCACTCTCTGGCCAGGGTCCCTGTCCACCCCTCCCACAGCACCCGCCTTTTGATGTCACGCTTATGTCCTCACCGTGTACTCCGACCAGCGGCCTCCCCACAGCCTCTTTGCTGTACCCCCCATGCGAGCCACTGTGAGTGACCCTTAGTGGTCCTCTCAGTTTTTACAAACTCCTGCCCTCCACTTGTGCCTGTGGGATCCTGCTCAGCCCACGATAGCAGTCCCACCGGCTGCCGCCCCTGCAGCAACGGTCTTAGACCAGAGGCCACCACTCCAGTCCTCCTGAAGACTGTCGCTGGATGGCCTGCTGGAAATCCTCACCATGTGCCAAACCTCGAGGACCACGAGATCATGGCCCAGCCCTCCATGGCAGGCTGAACTCCCCCAGACCCAAGCACCCCATCAGAGAGGCTGGGGAAACCCTGTGCACCACTCTCACTCTCCTTGTTTTCCCAGGTATCACATGGCCCTCTGGGCAGCACCCTCTTCCATGCTCCTGACACCTGACCAAGCGCCCCACCCAGCTACTCTCTGTTCACAGTCAGTAAACCCCGCTCACATTCAATAAAGTCCCCTTGTTCACTCAGCACCATCTTTCACCTCCTTCCCTTACACAAAGCCTGGTCCCTTTCCTATGGCAAGAATCACATGCTTTGTCTCCTCTGCATCTCAGCCTCCACATTCTTCAGGATGAGAGAGGCTGACAGGCTGCTCAAGCCTCCGTTCTCTGGGTATGTCTCGGATACTCTTCTCTCGTTGTTGGGACAATACTTGACACCCAAAATGAAGGAAGGAAAGGTTTATTTAGCTCACAGTTTGTGGAGGTTTCAGTTCATGCTCCACTGGCTCCAACGCAAATGACAGCAGTTATGGCGGCAGAAAACAATGAAGAGCAGAGGAGGAGCAGCAACTGCGGCATCCATCAAGCCTCTCTCTTCCTTCTATGCTGACTGCAAGGTCAGGTGCTCCAGTGTGACCGCGAAGATCCACAAAAGCGGGGTACAGCCCAGGAAGCCTTGCAACTCAGGCGCTTGCGCTTGCCAGGGAAGCACTTATTCTACTGAGCCATCTCCCTGGCCCCTTTACTTCCTTTATATACACTTTTTG